CTTAACACAGGAATGCCTCCCCTGACCCATGGTGAACCCCAGGGCCCTCCTGGAGGAAGCTGGGCAGAGACCCATCCTAGGGCCCCAGTTTCACCTCTCCTGGCCTTGCTCCTGATGGGGCAGGACAGAGTGCTGGGGCGGAGGCTCTACAGCTCACACGTCTTCAGCTTCCTTCTTTGCTTTCTGACAAAATCACACCGACTTCAGTAAGGAGAGGGAAAGCCATATTTGTGAGAAGCCCCCGCAAACAAGGCTGGGCTTCACCCACTGTCACTGTGTCCCCACGACAACGGGAGAGGGGTTTTCTTGGCCCCATTTTACATCTGAGGTTAATGAAGGCTGAGTTACTTGCTCAGGGTCACCATGAAGGCAAGATTCAAACCTCATCTCTGGCTCTCTGTACCCTGACCAATGGTGGCTTGGAGCTTCACCGTGAGCTCAGTATATGTTCTCTGAGTGTTCCATGCTATATTTATTAAAGATAATAAATTAACACTAGCTAACATTTCTGGAACACTGTGTTAAACACTCTGCATGTGTCACTGCAAAAAAAAACTACTGTTTTGGTCACATCCCCTTTTCACCTGAGGACACTGAAGCCCAGAAAAGTTAAATTCCTTGCCCAAGATCCAAACCTCTGGCTCCAAGGTCTGCACCCTTGGCTACTGCCTGCTAAAGCCCTTTAGGCCAGTGTCTGCACCACCCTGCCCAAGCACGGGCGTCCTCGGTTGCCCTCCATGCTCCCAGGCTCCCTGTCACTGCAGGCCCAGTGGCTAGATGGTCCTGTTTCTGCCAGCGGCTGGGCCTGTGCTGCTGATGGCCTGACAGGGCAGCCTGGTTCCTATCTGTCCTGGTGTGAACGCCAAAGCTTGGGGACTTGCAAGGGTGCTCAGTGCAGAATGTCAAAGCCAGAGTTGTCCTAGGAACTTTCGCATCCAATGCCCTCATTCACATGTGGCGAAAATGAGACCCAGAATGCCAAGGCCCAAGGCAGTGGGAAGCAAAGAGAAATGCATGGTTTTCCCGCTTTACCACCAACTCACTCTAGGCCTTACGTTGAATGACTTCTGAGTTTCCTTCAGCAATGCCTTTCTGAGTCTCTGATTCTCAAGGATTTGTCCAGAGTTGCCAGATTGTTCACCTGCACAGCTGACGCGTAAATACTGTCCCCCAGCTACGAATTCAGGGATCCTTGCTTGGCTCTTGGATCAGGCTCCTCTCTCCTTCTCTCTTTCCCTGGACCACATGGGGCCTGGAGCCCAGAACGGCTGACCCACCTCCCAAAGGGTTTTGAGGCTCCCCAACGGTGAAGGAGCCTCTCATGAAAAGCAGACCTCCCCCAGGCAGTGGACCTGGGCTATCTGGTCAGCCCCCCTCACCCTCAGAGACCCCTGCTTCACATAAGCAGTCGTCAGGAGCTTCTCCTGCCCAGTGTCAATGCCCCGAGTCCTTACATGACCATAGTCCCCAACTTTCTAAAATCCTTTATACCACCCAGGCTTCCCAGAAACCCAGGGAGGTCGGCAAAGGCTTTGAATTAGGTGGAACTGAGTTTCAACCCTATATCTGCCATCAGTTGGCTGTGTGACCCTGGGAAAGTTACTCAGCGTTTCAGTGGGTTGGTGACCACAACTGAAAACCAGGCATTAGATGAGTTAGCATGTGAGAAGCGCCTGATATGCAGGAAAACTTGGCAAGCAGGAGGTTGCTAGGCCCTCCCTTTTACAAATGAGGAAATTCAAGCTCATCCTTGGGTCTCACCTGTCCTGGGCCTCCATTCTGTGCCAGTTTGCTGTGCTCCTGTCTCTGGTCCCTGCAGCCAGCATGGTGCCCACAAGGACCAGACAAGTGACAACTCAGCTTTACATTCCCTGAGGAAAAGGTCTTAGAGTACCCCCAAATACTACTCCTGGCACAGGGAAGCTGTCAAATGCCTGAGAAGCAGTTTCAGGGATACTCTGTCTGCTGGCTTTAGGGGAGAGGGGATGACCAACAGGAGTAGTATCCAATGGGGTCATCCCAGCTGCAAATCTCACAGGAAAAGTGGCCAGCTACAGATTTCCCCCTCTGCTGCCTGCTGCCCGCCAAGGGACAGGTGACCACCAGGCGCACACTCATCCAAAGTACTAGTGAATGTCCGGAGCCATGTCTAAGGCAGGGAACAGCAAAGGAGAAGCAAGGTCATGCATTAATTCAACGAATATTTATGTAGGTCCCATTCTGAGGGCTCAGCAGTTTGAGGAGGAGACACAGGCCCTGGTGTCACCTATCTCACAGGCCAGGTTCCCCTCGGAGGTCCCAGGACACAGATGAACTCATAGAGAACCTTGAGTCTGGTCCAGCCAGTTTCCCCAGTTTAAAGGTGAGGACACTAAGACCCAGAGAGGGACAGGGACCAGCCAAAGTCCTCAGGGAGATGGGTAGGCATTCCCTGTGCCTGCTCTGCGAAGACCAGCCTCACCCGAGACTAGCCCAAGTCCCTAATCCCTGGTCCCAAAGCTAGCCTCTCTCTAAGGGAGAAGGGAGGCCTACTGCCTGCCTCCCAGATTGGTTGGGAACCAAGCCCAACCTCAGCCCAGGGGCAGGCAGAAGGCGGGCCATCTCTGCCCAAAGACTATTTAAAGGGCTCGGCCGGGAACAAGCGATACCTGCGTGTGAGCTTCTCACTCCAGGGTCAGGCAGGAAACAGGATTTGGCAAGTCCAAGGAGCTCTCTCGGACCCCAGGATCCCAGGAGAGAGGGAATGGGCTCGTTCCCTCTCCCGCCCAGGGTCTGGCCCTGAGAGAAGGCCCGCTGGATGAGGAGGGGGCCCCACCTTGCTTCTCTGCACCTTTGCAGACGTTATTGTGGCAAACTGTGGGCTGAGAAAACCCTTTGTGGGTTGCTCTGAAGACCTGAGGCTCCTCGACAGAGACCCGGAGGCCAGTGAAGCAAGAGTGACAGGCAGCCTGTTGGGCCTGGGAGACTCAGGAAGGGGCCTGGCTGCTCTCAGGATGTCCCTGTGCTCTGGGCTTCAGCATGAGCTCAAGTCCTGGTGTGAGTGACTACGGTTAGACATGAGAATACTCTTGCTGACAGTAATGGCCGGATGCCATTTGAACAGGTTTCCCACAGAGGTTAAGAAAGGGGTTTCAGATTAACACACCCTCTTCAGAAAGGTGTTGCCGGTTTCCATCACCCTCGAGACATCAAGGGAAAAGCAAGGGTCTGAAACCAGAGAGACCAGTCCCAGGCCCAACCTCACTGCTTCCCAGCTGGCAACTTCATTCGAGTTACTGAACTTCCCTGAGCCTCAGTTTCCTCTCTGAAAACTGATGCTGTAGGCTGATCCCACCTTTACAAAGCCTCTGGGAGAGTAAATGAGAGACCATCCACTGAATGCCCTGCCCAGAGCCCTGCAACGTATAGACACTTAATAAATTCTGTTTCATTCCTCCAGCCCTAGAGAAGTCTGGCTTCAAAGTGTGTACTCAGGAGACACATTCTAGATTAAATTTCCCTCAGAAAAAACAGGTGCCACCCTCTCTCCAACCAGGATTGCTGGGCAAGGAGCTTCACCCAGCAAGACTCATGGAGGTGCCTCAAGGGGGCTTGATTCTCCCTCCACAAATGATCTGATTCTCAGGAGAACAGAGGCACCTCCAACCTCCTCTTCCCAGCAGGACTAAGAAACCGGTTTTCCCTCTCCCCCCCCAGTCCTCACCAGAGCCCAGCCCAGCCACAGCACCCAGAGTTCTCTGCTTCCTCATTCCTTGCCCTCTGTCTGGGGTTATGAATCCCAGAAGAGCCAGCCTCAGAGCAGAGGCAACAAATTAAGTGTGTGTGGATGTTGCTGCCCTAATGAGCCCAAGGACAGAGAGGCTGGGGACAGGGGAGCAGGAGCAGGGTTTGGATTGAGGAGGACAACCGGGGTTGATGTTTCGTTGGAATTAAGCTTAGAGAAATCAGGGAGGGCTTCCTGGAGTTGGTGTCTTTCCCTCTTTAGGGAAATTAAAGAGCACTTCAGTTGCCTTATGGAAAGGAGGTGGTGGCTTCAGTGGGTAATGGGGTGGATAAGGTCCCTCTTTCCAGGAGGCAGAGATGTTACCTGGCTCAGCCACTCTGGAGGTCAGGTGTGCCGGACTGGAAAAAAAGGGGAAGTTCTAGGGACACATGTGGGAGGGCCAGAAATAAGGAGGAAGGTCCCAGCAATGAACTGCGAAGGGCCAGAGCCTGGGGTCCCAGAACAAGTGCTAGACTTTGAATCATGCAGATGTGGGGCCCAGTCCCAGCCCTGTTGTTCACTATCCATCCCTGGCAAAGTCATTCACCTCCCTGACTTCCTCATCTCTCAGATGGGAATCATAAATCCTGACCGCCCACAGTCGCATTAAACGAGACCCATGGGTGGGGTTGCCTAGCACAGTGCCAAGCCACACAAGGGTGAACCAATAATATCTATACAGTCAATTGGGTAAATAACTGTTCAATGCGACAAGCACTGTGCTGGGTGCACCAAAATGCTGAAGAAAATCCCCATCTCCTGCTTCCATGATCACTGGATGGAATAAGCCAGAACAGCAAGTTACCTGAGCAGCTTGAGTTGGTCCTCAGTGCCCTGGGCACCCCAAAGAATGAACTATGACCATGCAGAGAAAAGGGCCAAAGTAAGAAGAGATGCCAACCTGTGGGTCCTAGGCCCACAGAGACCCCCAACAAGAAAAACTGGACATACTACCAAGAGATATTTGCAAAAGGAAAAGGAGTTCTTTATTGCACAGACAGACACGGTACAAACGAGCTTGTTATATGATCCAGCAGCTTCTTGCCCATCCCTGCTCAAAAGCGGATGGGGAGAGCTGGAGGGGAGCAGGAAGGGGAGCATGCCAAGCACCCAACAAGGAGAGCTGGATCCTCTGAAAGCAGGGACTGGCGTTTGCTCTTCTGGCCCCTCTGGCCAGTCCTCCACCCAGCCTGGGGAGGGAGGAGGAGACGAGGGACGTCTCTCCTGCACTGGGCACTCAGACCTCTCTCTTGCGAGAAGAAACCACCTTCCCGTCCACTGTCTCCTCGACGTTGATGCGAACTTTGCCACCACCGCCTCCCAGGGAGACAATAGAAAGAAGAAGCAGACTTTAGAGTGGGGGACCCTTGCTGTTCTCCCTCCCAAGGCAGCCAGGAACTTGGCTGAGCTCGGGGAGAACTGGACAGCACCCCTGAGAATGGCCACTGGCCAGGAGGTCTGGCGCTGAATCACTCATCACAGAGGTGGGCGGTGGTAACAACAGTTATGCCCCGCAGTGAGCAAGAAAGTCAGGGATTTAATGGCAGGTGAACGGGAAGTGATCGGGAGCTTCTTACCATTAAGTGCAGGAAGGTGGGACCTGGGGTAAGCTATTCCCCGGACAAAGCCTGCTCAACCTGGAAGGTTCTCAATAAATCTTCAGCCCCCACTCTACTGGGGCTGATAGAGGGTCCCTGCGAAAGAGGTATTGCCTAGAATGGGGGTGTCCCCTCCCTACTGGCTTGTTGGGCATCTTTCTCCTTCCAGCCCATTCCAGAGGGAACGGTGGCTTCAACAGCTGCCCTTGCCACCCCACGAAGGAAGACTGAAGCGTTCTTACCTTCTCTGGTGCCAATGCCAGCCATCCTAAAAGAGAGGGGAAGCAGATGTAAGAGAAGGGCATGAGCCCAGATCTCCTTAAGGGAGGCCCCAGTGGCTAGCTAAGCAATCCTCTCCAGGGCCCCCCACCACCAGCCGCACATCTGATTTCTCTAGAGGCTGGGACATCCTGAGAACCTGTCCAGACCTGCCACCCCTAAGCAGATAGATTCTGATACACAGTAACACCCCATCTGCTTCCTTTATGCTGTCCCGCTGCTGTCCGGGTAAGATGACTCTCCGCCCCAACCTTAACCGGCCCCTCCCTCATTCCTCCCCCTGCACCCTCGCCCCTGCCTGGCGTCCTGGCCCTCCAGCAGGCTGCGGTAGGTGGCGATCTCCTGCTCCAGCCGCGTCTTGATGTCCAGCAGAGTCTTGTACTCCTGGTTCTGGCACTCCATCTCACTATGGAGCTCACTCAGCTGAGCCTCCAGGCCACTGATGAGTCCCTGGATCTGCTGCAGCTGCGTGGCGTAGCGGCACTCAGTCTCGGCCAGCGAACCCTCCAGCCCTGCTTTCTGGAGAGGTAACAGATCAAGAGACACCCCGTCAGGCCAGGAAGGAAGCTGCAGCGGGCATGGGTACCAATGTTGAATGGAGGGCAGAGAACCCCTCGGATGGGGCTTGGGAACCCAAGACTTAACCAGCCCTGTTTGGTGGGAAAGGCCAGGCCACGCTGGGGTGGGCTGGGGTGGGCTGAGGGGCAGGTGACCCTACCATGCTGAGCTGGGACTGCAGCTCGATCTCCAGTCCCTGCATCGTGCGCCTCAGGTCTGTGATCTCCGTCTTGCTGGTCTGGATCATCTCTGTGTTGGAGGCCACCTCCTTGTTCAGCTCCTCTGTCTATAGGTCACACACAAGGCAAGTGAGGCCCACAGGCATCCTGGGAGACCTGGGGAGCCGGGGCGGGGCTGCGAGGTCAGGCCCACCTTGCTGAAGAACCAGGCCTCGGCGTCCCGCCGGTTCTTCTCCGCCATGGCCTCGTACTGCTCCCTCATCTCGGCCAGCACGCGGGTCAGGTCCACGCCTGGTGCCGCGTCCATCTCCACGTTGACCTGGCCTGCCAGCTGGCTGCTGAACTCCTTCATCTCCTGCAGGGTGGGCAGGCCCGTTTAGGGACACAGGGCAGAAGAGAGAGCTGAGAGCCTGGGTTCCCACAGGCCCATCCTGGCTTCGCATTCCTGCGTACCCACCCCAGCCTCTGTTCCCCACTGAACATGAAGAGGTTCGATCACATGGGCCCCTTGGCTCTGAGGGCCTCTCTTCCTTGCCAGGTGCTACGGGAGGACCTCAAGACAGTAGAGCCCTTGTCTGAGCTCATGAAACAAATCAGGACAGCAGGTCACACTGACCACTTGGCCTGGCTATGGATCTGAGAAGGAAAGGAGTCTGGGTCCCCAAAGGATAGTACCCCTTGCTCTCCATGGGGACCCCTGTTTTGGTGGAGGGGAGCATATCTGAACCACTAAGCCCTTCAGCCAACTAGGAGGAGGTGCCAGTGGCCCTACTCTGCCTCCCGCCACCAGCAGTCCCTGCCGGCCCTCACCTCCTCGTGGTTCTTCTTCAGGTAGGCCAGCTCCTCGTTCAGGCCCTCGATCTGCATCTCCAGGTCGGTCTTGGCCAGGGTCAGCTCGTCCAGCACCCGGCGCAGGCCGTTGATGTCGGCCTCCACACTCTGGCGCAGGGCCAGCTCGTTCTCATACCTGGGAAGAGAGAGGGAGCCCAGAGTAAGGACGGGCAAGAGGTCTGGGCTGTTGGAGCTGGAGGAGGGAGAGAAGGCCAAGAAAAGGTGGGGAATCCAGAAGGGGAGAGGGAGGCAGGAGCGCACTTGAGTCTGAAGTCGTCCGCCGCCAGCCGGGCGTTGTCAATCTCCAGGATGACGCGGGAGTTGTCAATGGTGGCCGCCAGGATCTGCAGAAGTCAGGAAGTCGGTGCCTAGAGCAGTGTTCCATTCTCCCTGCTGCTCTCCCCACCCTGTGCCCCAGGTCAGACCCCTGGCTGACACCAGCAACAGAAGCCTGTAGGCTTCCCAGGGCAGAGTTCAGCTCCCCCTCAAGTGCCCACGTGAGGTCTGCCCCACGCCACCCTTCCTGGCTCCAGGGCGTGAAAGACCAAGGAGCCCTGAGTGCCTGGACTCCCCTGTGGGAATTGCCAGGAGGGGTTGGGGTGGGGTTCAGTGGACTCAAACAACAGCCCTCCCGGGGATAGTCCACCAGCCTGCCCTGGTCACCGGCCTCCAGCACACCTGGACACAGCCATGGACCCACAGAACATCCCACAGCCAGGAGGAACCTGGAGGGCAGGTCAGGAAGGCACACTACAGCTGAGGAAACCGGTCCAGGTGAGTTGAAAAGGTGAGTAAATGGCTGGCAGAGCACATCATGAGTTCGAGGTGTCCTAAGTCCCAATACTGCTTTTGGCACCAAAGATACCCTCAAAGGGCGAGGCAGGTGGTCCTGGCATTCAGGGCTCCTGAGGCGACACTTACCGTTCTTGCAAAAGAAGCAAAGGGGCATCTGATGCACAGCCCTGCAGGGCGTGTGTCACTGCCCCCACTTTGGACCCCCCGCCCCCACCCCGTCCTGACCAGAATCTCAGGATCCTCCCACACTGCCAAGTTGAGCGGATGTGCCCTGGCATCACACCTGGAAAGCCATTCCCTGCTTCTCCGAGCTATACACCGACAATCACGGCCCGGGCAGGAAAGGGTCTCCTTGCCGCAGCTGGAGCACTGATGTTACAGACGTGTGTAGGACCAGCCGCCTGCTCCGTCTCTCCGACACCCGAGGACTCACCTTGTCCCGCAGCTCCTCGATGGTCTTGAAGTAGGGGCTGTAGTCCCGCTCAGGGCTGCTGGGGCTCTGCTTCTGGTACCAGTCACGGATCTTCACCTCCAGATCGGTGTTGGCCTCCTCCAGGGCGCGCACCTTGTCCAGGTAGGAGGCCAGGCGGTCGTTGAGGTTCTGCATGGTGAACTTCTCATTGCCGGAGAGGAGGCTGCCCTCGCCACCACCGTAGTCACCAAAGCCACCACCGAAACCCCCACCAAAGCCACCTCCAAGGCCACCTCCAAAGCCACCTCCAAAGCCCCCACCACCCAAACCACTACCAGCCCCTCCACCGAAGCCGCAGCTCATGCCGCCCCCATAGCCCCCTCCTGACCCGGAGGACACGAACCTAGCAGAAGAAGCCAAAATACTGCGGCTTCCACCGCCCCCACAGAGACTCCTCCCACCAAAGCCGCCTCCCCCAACCCAGAGGGAACCCCCCCTGGTAGAGCCACCCCCAAAGGTGGAGGAAGAGGTCTGCAGATATGTGGTGCTCATGGCCAGGCAGTGGGGTGAGTTCTCTGAAAGCACAGAGGTGCTGGTGGAAGTGCAGCCTGGGCTGAGAGCAGAGCACTGGCTGGTCATCCCCCAGCCTGGGGCTCCTTATATACCCCTCCGAGGGTGTTGTGGAACCGCATCTCCTCCCCCAAAGGGAAGCCAACTCCTGTGTTCAAACGCAACTGCCTGCACACCTCTGCGTGGTTGATGTGGAGTTTCTCTTTTCTTTCTTTTTTTTTTTCAGTGCAACAAAAGAGATGATTCAGAATGAATGGTGTTTTGCCCCAGGGCCATGGTTTTAACACTTCCAATGCAGGCTCATCTCTGCGCTCTGTGAGAAAACCAAGAGTAGCGGGGAGCAAACCCCAATCACTCCACAGCTCCCAGGCTTCCGACCGCAGGGTGGGAGCAGTTCGAGACAGATCTGCCCTCGCTGGACTTCTCTGCTGCCACCAGCCCAGGACCTTCACCCCAAGGCGGCCAGCTCCCCACTCTCAGTTTGAGAGTCCACTCCCCATCACTGCTCTGTGTTGTCCCACTCACAGACCCCACGTGTGAGACTGCAGGGCCTGGGGAGAGCCATGGCTTGGCAGTGGGGAGGAGAGGAGAGGGGAGGGGTGTGAGTGGGCAGAGGCACAGGGAGGCATGCAGGGCCCATGGGGGACAGGCTGAAGACAGGAGAGGGGGTCATGAGTCAAGTTCCAGCTAAGGTGATCAGAGAAGCCTACGTCTGTCTCTTCCCTGCCGCCACAGGACCCTCCTCCTCCATGCCTCCCCCCTCCCGCCCAGCTCCCCCCCAGCCCCCGGCTCCATTGCACTGGCACTCTCACAAAGGCCAGGAGGCTCGGGGCTGACAAGGGGCTGATTGATAATGCCGCCACCTGCCAACTGCACATGTCACTGAACCTTTGCTTGCTCCTGGGACACGTCGGGGCAAACCTCTGCAGATAAGACCGGAGCACAGTCCAGAAAGCCCCTGCCTTCTCCAGAGAGAGGGCATGTCCCTGCAGAGCAGGGCCAGAGTAACTTGGTTTGTCCTGTCAAGCGCTTTGGGGCTGGGGAGGGACCCAACCCAGAGGGCTCTACGTGCCTGAGTGTCGGGAAGGAGGATTCAGGGAGGCCTGGCAGGCAGACCAGAAGACACCGCTTCTCGAGCAGGATGCTGAGGCCAGAGAGGGGAGCTGAACACTCAGGAGAGCCCTTCTCTCGGCCGCCAACCCAGGGGCAGGCTTTCGGCGATACATAATACATGCCGGCTGTGCCACTTGGAGACACAGCCTGGCCCTCTGGCCCCGGCTCCAGGGTTTCGGAAGAGCTGGGGGGTTGGGGAGGGAAGCAAGGCCAATCTGGAGAGTCAGAAGGATATCTGGTCCAGGGCTGAAGCACAGTGAGGTGGATGGAGCTCTGGAGCCCCTCAGGCTCGGGTTCAAATCCTGGCTCCATCAATTACTACCTATGAAACCCTGGACGTGTTACCGTGGTGAGGGGCACTTTCAGCTTCCACCTGAGGCCCGAGAGCCCCCAGCCTGCTTCCTCCTGCCTCCCCATCTTCTAAGGAAGCAGACAGTGGGGCTCAGTACCTGGGGTTCTCCTCCGAGCCAGGGTGGTGCGAGAAGGACCAAAGGCCTAGGTGGATGGGGGTGGATGAGCGGGGCCTCTGAGTGCCGGGCGCAGACAGTGCGGTATTGTCTCGTGGGTAGGAGGGTATCGTCTTTTCTTCCAAAAGAAAAATAATCAAACTCAGATCAGCCACAGCTCATTAAAGCCTCTGCAGACATCACGGCCCCAGCAATTAACAGGGGAACAATTGCACACCAACACTCCAGGCTGAGGGAGGCCTGGGCCCCAGCCAGCCCCTCTTCTGCACCCTGACTTCCCTCCAGCGCCCCTCGAGAGGTGGCTTTCATACGCTATCAGGCCCATGCAAGCGCAGCAGCTGCCCCAGTCACAAATACGTTTTCAGTGCAAACAGCTCCCGGGAGCTCAAGGTCTGGGCCACTTGGTGCCTGCTCATTAGCACCAGGTGGGGAGGCGGGGCAAGGGTGGAGACCCAGCTCTCTTTGGCTCCAGCCCAGGCTGCAGCCCAGGGCCCTGTCCCCAGGGCCTTCTCTCCTTGGGATGGGATGGGATGTGCGGCCCGGTGGAAAAGCCTGGGCTGGACTCCACCTCTGGGTGTGACTCTACCTCTCTGAGCCAGGTTCCCAACTTAACATTGGACCATTTTTCCACTCACATGAGTACTTAGAGTAGTCAGAATCACAGAAGGAGTTACTGTTTAACAGATTTAGAGTCTCAGTTTTACAAGATGGAAACAGTCCTGAGCACGCATGGTGATGCTGGTGGCACCATAATGTGAACGGAATTAATGCCACAGAACTGTCCACTTAAACACGGCTAAGATGGTAAATTATGTGTGTATTTTACCAGAAGACACAAAAAGAAAAAAATGGGGCCATTAACACTGAGTCCTGTTACAGGGTCCCAGACAGCATCCGATGACACATGGGGGTGTGGTCTCCCTACATCCACCCCTCACCTCCCCACTCCCCAGGGAGATGCTAGGAGAGAGCACAAGTCCTAGGGCCTGGAAAATTCCTCCTCTATTAGGTATGTGGCTCTCTTAGTAATCCGGCTGCCTCTCTCAGCCTGTCTACCAATCCGGAAAATGGAAATAACCCCTGCCCAGCCTGCCGCCCAGGGATGGAGCTATGCCTATGACTGACAGGAAATGCTCTGCAAACTGAAGTGGTCACAAGGACCAGCAGCGAGGGTAAGACTCACCCCATGAATCCTCTCCCCTTCTCTCTCCTTCCCTCCCTCTCCCTCTCCTCCATCCCAGCCTCTCTGTTAACACAGTACCCCTGGTTTCAGCTCCCTAAGACAGAAAATTGTCCCTGCCCTTGCCTCCCCATGCCACACACACACACACACACACACACACACACACACACACACACAAAGGAAGGCTTCATTCCTGACACCCAGACCTGCGACCCAGTCACCTGCCCCACCTGTTTGGGCCCAGACCCCACCCCACGGCCACATATCCAAGGGCCTCTGGGGCATAGGGGAGGGTTTCAGCTGTGACAACAGAGGCTTTCATGAACAGGGGACAAAAATCTCTGGGCAGTCTCAGCCTGAGGGTGAGCCAGACCTCTAAATTTAAGTGGGAGAAGGGGGCTATGGGTGCTGGAGGCCACAGCAGAATAGCTCGGGAGGTGGCAGAAGGGGCTCCCGGCCCAGGGAGAGGAGGAAGCACTGTGCTCTGGGGTCCCCAGTTCTGTGACCTGAAGCAAGTTAAGGAAGGTCTCTAAGACCCGCAGGAAACTGACAGAAAGAGGACCTCCTTCAGGATTCTTAGCACAGGGTATGACTGGGTCACAGCCTCCTTCACACAGCACTGGGCACTCATGGTGGCCATGTGTTCCCCTCCAGACCTTCTGGGGGCACAGGATAGAGTGCTCCTCACTGGCCCCCCTCCAGCACAGGATCAGGCAGATCCGTGGGACCTAACAGACCCACTCAGCCTGCACCTCTCAGCCAAGGGGAGGTGGGACTACTTATTTACCTTTAATTGGCCTCAGTTCTTGGCAGCTGAACTGTAAACCACAGGGGCAAGACCATACCTACACAAGGGCAGAGTTAGACCAGGAAGCTGGGACTTACGTTCCTTTCCTGGCCTAGGACCAGCCTCTGGTAAGCCAGGTTGGGGGTCCGTACGGGAGGTCCAGGTCACCGCTGGGTCCGATTCCAGGCTCTGGGCCCAGGTATGAGCTGGTGGGCGTAAGGGGCTTTTGTGGGGCTGCCCAGGGATGGATGAATGTGTTAGTGCATGCACACACACTGACACTGACAGGTATACCCTCTTCAGCCATTTGAGTGGGATGCCTGCCCCCATCACTCAGGCTCTGACCCCCAAAGCCCCAGGCTCTCCTTCAGTTAGGTGGAGAAATGTATCAAAAGGAACTGCCCCAGGGGATCCTAGTCCTAGGCCCTCACATGGAGCAAGACTGACAGGTACTGAGAACCTGGCATAAGAAGCATCAGTCCTGGGGCGCCTGGGTGGCTCGGTCATTAAGCGACTGCCTTCAGCTCGGGTCATGATCCCAGGGTCCTGGGATCGAGCCCCGCATCGAGCTCCCTGCTCCGCGGGAAGCCTGCTTCTCCCTCTCCCACTCCCCCTTTCTTGGGTTCCCTCTCTCGCTGTGTCTGTCTGTCAAATAAGTAAATAAAACCTTAAAAAAAAAATAAGAAGCATCAATCCCAGGAGACTGGGGTACATACAGGGTGGCACCTTCAGGAAACCTAGTTTCTGGTCCTGGCTCTGCCATGAAGTCACTGTGTGACCTCGGACAAGTTACTCAACCTTTCTGAAACTGTTTCTTGCTCTATAAGATGCTACTCATACTACCTTTTAAGGTTGTTTGATCAAATGGTGCATACTATGTGCTCAAGTAAACATTAATTTCAGACACACAAATACACACCAACCCTTGAAGGAGTAAAGTGGAGAGAAAACTAAATCTGAAAAAAAAACAAAAACAAAAACCCACAGTTTCAAATCCCACCTTTGCCATGTTAGAAGAGTTACATCTACAACAAACCACCTCACCTGTCTGACCCTTAGTTTACCCCTTGGTAAAAAGGGAGGAATGCGGGGCGCCTGGGTGGCTCAACAGCTTCTGATTCTTGGTTTCAGCTCAGGTCATGATCTCATGGGTCCTGGGATCTGGCCCTGCGTTGGGCTTCACGCTCAGCGGGGCGTCTGCTTGGGGATTCTCTCCCTCTGCCCCTCGCCCCACTCGTGCACGCTTGTTCTCGAGCTCTCCCTTTCTCTCACTTAAATAAATAAATAAATCTTTAAAAGAAAGGAGGGGGGAGCAATGCTTGTTTCCAAGCTTATTTTAAGGAACAGGTTAGATAAACAAAGGGTTCTGCAAACAGGAATTAGCCTACCAGTAGGAGTTGGTGAGCACCCTCTCTTCCCTCTCCTGGGACAG